CAGGCAGGGTTGCCCACTCTCTCCTGTCTTGCTTGTGTGTTGTATAGACCCTTTTGTGAGCCTGAGAGGGTGACTATTCGAGGCAGCAGAGGCCTGCAGGTCAAAGCCTCCCTGTACATGAATGACGTTGCTGTTTTGTGCTGGGATCCACTGTCAGTGCGCAGACTCATGAGCATCTGCCACTGGTTTGAACTGGTTCTCAGGAGCCAAGGTAAATCGAGCAAGAGTAAGGCCATGTTCTTGGAGAACTGGGCCAAGCAATCCTTTAATCCTTTCACCGTCGGGACAGATTACCTGAAGGATCTGGGAATATGGTTTGGAGAGGGGGTTGGTGCCGGAGTGTGTGTGAAAACTTGGGAGGAGCGTACTGCCAAGGTGAGGCAGAAACTCATCTTCTGGGAGCACTGCTCCTTCTCCATTGCAGGTAAAAACCCGGTCATCAGGTATGAGACACTCACACTGTTGTTGTACGTGGTGCAGATCTGGCCCATCCCCAGAATCTGCCTCACTGCAGTTACCCGAACCATCTTGCACTTTCATCTGGAGGTCTGGGATGGATCATGTCCGTGGGGACACCATGTTCAAAACTCTCCATAAGGTGGGGTAGAATGTACCCAATGCCACCCTTAGCCTGATGACTACCATTGCATGTGGTTGAATCAAGCTGTGCATAAACCCTCCATAAACAAACACCAAGTGTCACGATGTACTGAGGTTCCACCTGTCCCTAGTGTTGCAAAGGATGGAACTGGCTTTGTTGCCGTGGAAACATTCCATATCAGTTGTCCTTTACAGAGAAATTTGCAAAGAAAAACACCTTTGAGCAAAAGCCCATCAGGAAGTGATCAGCATATAGCGTCTTCGAAACCCTGTGGGAAAAGGAGAGGGTGGATCTTGTCAGAGCAGACTGTCAAAGTCATTTGGCAGAAAGCCTCATCACCAGAACTTTCTACCAAGCGCCAAGACATCGCTTGGCTGGTGGTAAGGAGGGCACAACCTGTGGGATCCTTCAATGTACGCCCGGATCCTCTGCACCACTGCACACTGCCCTTGAAGCAGCTACAGAGGGATAGACACTGATACACATCTCCTGCTGGATTGTGCCTTTGCAAAGAAAATCTGGAGAGAGATGCAGTGGTTTTGTTGAGGTTTGTCCCGAGCAGTTCCGTGACGCAGGACTCTGTGCTGTACTGTCTGTTCCCCAGGACGCACACCAAGACAAACATCAACTGTGCCTGGAGGACCATCAACTCAGTGAAAGACGCCCTTTGGTTTGTCCAACACTTGTTGGTCTTCCAAAGCAAGGAGTGGACCCTGACTGACAGTTGTGAACTGGCACATTCTAAGGTCCAGGACTGTGTGCTGAGGGATGCACTAAAGCTTGGAGCAACTGCTACCAAGGCACATTGGGGAAAGATCATCTCAGGTCTTTCAACTGAAGTTGAATATGGGTTTGTTGGTTATTGGACCCTGCCTTTGGTTTGTTTGTTGGATAGTGTCAAACTCCAGGGTTTGTTTCTTCATATGCAACTGTACAGAACCAACTGCTTTAGTGACTATGTGTGTATGTAAAGATATTTCTATGAATAAAATATATTTTTGAAATAAAAAAAGTTAAACTCTTACATTGCAAGGGGTGCAGCCCGTCTACACTAACCAGCCTGCCTAGGGAACAGACCACACTGGCTGACAGCAGTAAACCTGAGTCGGGCAAGTATATGGGGCTGAAATCAAAAGTGGACTTAACAGAAAACATTCAGATAACAGTGCGGTAGGCATAAAGGCACAATAGTGAATTGAACTTAAAGGGTGTCTTTGTTGGAGGCACTGGAAGGATCCTGCAATGGCGGGTGCTCAGATGTGGAGGGGAGAGTCACAGTGATAGAGAGAAGAACGGGTGGGAACATAAAGGAGTAATTAGATGCACTGTGAAGGAAGACAAAGCAGGTGAATTGAGAAAGGGCTGTGTAAGGCTAAGGCTGGGCATGGGAATCTGAATAGGGATTGTGAAGAGCAGGAATATAGAATTGAATAGAATAGAAAATATCCTTTATTGTCATGCGTACTCCATTGTAAAAGTACAGTGAATCGCTTTTACAATATCTGCCTCTTATGCCACTATCTAAGGTACAAGTACATTGGTACAAATCTTCGATATAACAGAGGAATAAAAAGTAGTTGCATTACATTACAGAGTTTAAAAAATAAGTTAGAAGTAAGACATCCTTAAGAGATTGACATTACAGTCAGGTAAAAAAATTTCAAATAAACATTACATTGTCGCAGTTCAGCACAGGAGCCCCGCACATGGCCTGACTGTCCACGCCAGACACCCTCTCCGCTCCGCTCCAAGCCTCCAGTCCGCTTTGTACCGGCGCTCAGCTGCTCCAAGGTAAGCTCCAGGACTGTCTTCCCCGCGCCAGTCTCAGCCTGGGACTCGCTGTCCGTGCACTGCTGCTGCTCCAAGATTCACCTCTGGGGCTAAGGGGAGAGAAAAAAAGAAAAAGAAAGAAGTGGAACAGGTGGAGCACAGGAGCTCCAGCAGGAGCATCTTTTTCTGCCACTGTCTTGCTGGAAGCAATATCAAGACAGATAGTGAAAGGTCCAGCGGTTATGGGAGACTGAAGAAAGACAGATGACCTGCTACAGGAGAGAAGAAGGCCATCTACAGTGAAGGAGAAGATGATCCTTGTAGAGGGGAGCTGTAGGGGGTGAAGGATTCAACTGATCAATGAACAAGCACCATTGTACTCCTAAATCAGATCACAGAAGAAGGTCTTGCAGGGAAGGCATTGCACAAATGGGAAGAGCCTGTGATCTGTTTGACATGCTCTTGCACAAACGCATCAAACCAAGTGAATTAATCAGAAACTGAAAAATGCTACAGAGTTTTGTACTGAAGGAAATCACTCACAACAGAATAATAGCGAATAAATTCTATCAAATCTTAATATTACCATCCCAGCCATGTCCTGTAAGTCATTTAATCTGAGAAGAAGGACAGTCAAGATTTACTAACAGTTATGACAGGCAGTGATGTGGGGGTTAAGGTGTATGGGCTATATTCATTTGCAGCAGTGTAGGAGTATTCCCAGAAGCATGTGTCAGAAGGATAAGGACATGGAGGTGAAACTGTTACACAGTCTGTAGATTCCAAGATTGTAAGGATGTATCACAAAGCATAAATAAGGCCAGAAAGAGTCTGATGGAGTTAATTGTCACATGCATGCAAAGCAGGATGAAAATCAAGGTTACAAAGATATTGCACATGGCTGGAAGAGGAAGAAATCTAGTCATGGATAATGGACCTGACCGTGTAGCAGTGGTTGTAGGACAGACTTTCACTTAGCACATGAGCGTCTTTATAGTGGCCCAAAGCCTCAACCCAAATGGACAGTAAATAGAGAGTAATAGCTTTTTCTGATGAAGGGTCGAGGCCCGAAACGTCAGCCTCTCTGCTCCTATGATGCTGCTTGGCCTGCTGTGTTCATCCAGCCCTGCACCTTGTTGTCTCGGATTCTCCAGCATCTGCAGTTCCTACTATCTCTGGACAGTAAATATCTCATTTCTGACATTTCCTCTCAAATCCATGCATCCATACCAATGCAGCTGTACAAGTTTTATTGAAGTTATGAATGAGGAGGAGATGAAGAAGAAGTGCTCAACACCAACAGAAGGAGGCTGACGGAGTGATATTATTGAACCATCAGCAGCAGCACCTAAAGAAGGGAACTTGCGGCATCAATGCCATTGAGCAGTGTACTGAGAGAGGCTCTACCAACGGCATTACAGCTACCTGAAAATGAAAGAAAGACAATGCCAAGCCATCTTTTCTTGACTAGGGATGCAGTCATCTACATCAGTGACCACCTGTAGGTAGATGCTGGCAGCACTATGCCTATGGTGCTGAACATTACAGCTGCATTGATCTCACAGCCATATGCTCCTTTCAAACATGAAACAGGGACATGTATGGCATCTATAAATCAGCAGCCTAAAAGTGAATTTGTGAGTTGACCAATGCCCTTTATGGGAGAGAAATACAGATTGTCCAGTTCCAGTTCCTTTGCACAGAAAGCCAAGGTGCCCAAGCCATTTGATTTGCAGCTGTTGCTGGATTTTGTCAGGGCCAAGGGGAAATAAACTACTTGCACAGGGCTCTCAAAGCTCCATGGCATCATCCAGCCAGATTCCTGAACAGAAAAGAAACTCACTGCCTCGGTCCAGTTTGTTTGTGACCCACGGCGAACAATCCCTGAAGGTGTGCTCTCTGGATCCAGAGATCCATCATGACATTTACATTCTGCACAACTCCCAGTTTCCTCAAATATTCATTCCCCAACATCATCTCCAGGGCTGATATGTGGGTGATAAGATGTATCTCAGGAAGGTGTGGCTAATGACCCCAGTGCACAATCCTCAGACTGGTGCCAAACAGCATTGTAATATGGCTCATGAAACCACTAGGGCCATTATTAAAGACAATTGGGCTTCTGAAGATGGTCTTCTTTTGCCCATACCACTTAGGAGAACCATTCCAATGCCCCGTAGACAGTGGGTCCAGAATAACGATTGTTTGCTGTGCCAGACACTACCTAGATCAATGATGGGGTGAGAACATAGAGGAGGGCGAGTTGGACCAGCTGCCTGTCTCCTTAGATGAGGAAGAAGGGGAGTCTGACAGAGATGCTGAGACAATTTACACTGATGAAGATGCTGAAGAAGCAGGAAAGGTGGTAGGATAAAGTGATAGGCCTGAGGGACCCTGAGAGTGGCTAGATTTGAGAGTGAATGCTTTTGTGTGAACGTATGTGGATATTCAGTTCTATGTGCCAATTCTGATGCAGAGACATTCCTGCCCATAAGATACTTTGCCATAAATTGTAAGTTACTTTGTTCCTTTTGTACCAATAACCTCTTGTTCAATTTCCTGGCCAGGACATCAATGTAAAGTTACAGAGGATTACATGGAGGCTATGCTTAAATAACTCAAACCTTGGTTTGCAAAGGGTATTCATCTATTACAAAGATTTAGAGGGACTAAACTATGTTAATTAACTCTCAAAGCCAAACATCCAGCTTAAGTTCCCATTTTCCAGAGGCTGTGTTTGTCCTAGAATGGTAGCCTCCGAGCTCCTTGCCCTGCTCCACGTGATGTACATGCGAGTGTATATGGTGATCAGCGTCCCTCAGGGTAGTCTATAAAGAAAACATAAATAGTCATGAGCCTTAACAGATTGAAAGATGCCACAGGACTGTTGTACAAAGTGCTATTTTTGTGCAGTTTCAGTTTCTAAGAAAGGATGATACCATTTACCCAAGGTGACTTCAATGTTGTTTAATCTTTCCTTTCCTTTCTCCTACATCTCAGGAGTCTCCTCAGCAGCCACAGTGGAGCTTGAGGAAGTTTTCTGTCTTTTTTTTTCACTAGCCTCAGATGGCTTTGGTAGGTGTTCTCTGGTGGTCCAGGACTACAGCGCATTGGCGTGCTGGGGCTCTGCTGCAGAGGTGATGTTACCACCTCCTCAGCTTGACCTAATAGGGGTATTTGGCAAAAAAGACAAGTGATGTAGCAGGGCACCTCTGAAGAGTGAGACGATGATAATCCCTGGATGTCTATCTTTCATTCCTCTTCCCTGTCCATGTGCAATGGCACCTCCCTCACCCCTTGAGCGGACAGGACACCCAGTGGGAGGCTGATGACCCTCAGTAATGTCTCGTTAGCTCCATGGCTCAAACCATGGAGTACTGGTCCATGTGCTTATCCAGCAATTGTTACTGTTCTTGAGGACTTAGCTCTCCATCACAAATTCTACATGCTCCGCCATACGCTTGTATACCATAGCCACAACATCAAAAGGTATGTGGGAACTTGACAATCTGACGGTGATGGTGGCTTGGTAGAAAATATGTTTCAATACGGTAGTGATGCCAATTCACATGAACAGTTTAACAGCAAGAATTCCTGACTACACTGGAACTAATGAATCCATTGGTCTTTGTTCTGTTTTTTTTTCCTAATCTTATGGTTTCCTTTCCTGTCCAATTTATCCCCTCCCCTTGCCTCCCTGCTACAATAGGGATTTACAGCTGATGAATGGCCTCAGTTACTTTGGGAAAAAACATTATCCAGATGTCACAGTGAGGGCCCAATTATCTCCTCAGCAGCCTCCCCACCCTGCCAAGTTCATGAGGTGCCAGTGCATTGGGTGAAGAAAACGGGAGTGAAGATCTTAAAACTAGATCATTCACCTCTTTGTTCATTTGCCTTGTGTGTTGTCTGAGCTGTCATGGGTCAGGCATTTAAATTTAATGTAAATTATATACAAGTATCATCACAAGATGCATGGAGGAGTGAAGCCAGATAACACTTGAGGGGGGCAAGGAATAGAAAGGATCTGCTGATATGGTGAGATGAAGTAGGGTGGTAGAATGCTCCTGTAAAACATCCTGGGATGGTTCAATTAGTCTCAATAGGCTGTTTCAATGTCCTTTCTTATATAGGAGTTCTCTTGCATTATTTTCCTCAGATTAGCCGGGAGATGAGGACGATCAGAAAATATGGGCATCAGGGGTTGTTACCAAGCCTAGCAGATGAGACAACATCCACAAGGGGTGAATGCCAGCACTTTGTTCAGAGGTCAAGTGAGGTAGGCTTTCAATTTCCTTGTGATACAGAATGCCAGGAATATTGGGTAGTTTCTTACAGCATCAAAAGGGCCCAGAACCTGATCGGAATCTCTGCTGCTGGAACCCTTTCTGACTCTTAGTTGTACTCAACCCCTTTCTCACAATTTGATACACTCACTCATTCTTACATATATATCCACCCGGGTCATACCCAGCCCATGTACAGCAGATAAAACCTGAAACTCAACCACATTCTGGGACATTCAAGCAGCTCTCAACAGCTCATGACAACCATACCCTAAAGCAAGAAGTGGAGGAAAAGTTGGATCTCGACTACAAAATGTTTTCAAAATGAATTTTGCTTCTGTCCTCACTGATTGCCTATACATATCTAGGAAATGTCATGAGATAAAATCCAAAATTGGAAACAGGCATTTTTTTCCCCACTGTATTTTGCTTTGAGTGGAATTGCAGTATCCCTCTTGTCATAATGTTAGATGGAACCAATAAAACAGCAGTCAAATTGAGGATGATTCAGGTACTCCTTACTAAAAAAGAACCTGCCATTATACACTGTATTAGTCAGAACAGAAACATTGCATAAAAACATAGAAAATAGGAATAGAAGTAGGCTATGCAGCCCTTCCAGCCTGAATGACCATATTGGCTGATCATCCAAATCCTTCTTTCAGCTGTTGCCCTATATCCTTTGATCCCTTCAACTTTAAGAACTATGTCAAACTCTTTCTTGAAAACATTCAATGTTTTATCCTCAATCATTTTCTGTAGCAGAGGATTCCACAGGCTCGTCACTCATTGGGTAAAGAAAATATCTCCTCATCTCAGTCCTAAATGGCCCATCCCATATCCTTACTCTGTGACCCTTGTTTCTGGGCTCCCCAACCATCAGAGACATCCTTCCTGCATTTACTGTGTCTATTATTGTTAGAATTTTATAGGTTTTTGTGAAATCCCCACCAACAAGGCCTTGTATAATTGCAGCAAGACATCCCTGCTCCTGTACTCAAATCCTCTCACTATAAAGGCCAACATACCATTTACCTTCAGTGACTAGTGTACAAGGACACACAAGTCTCATTGCACAATCCCAACTCTCAATTGATAGCCATCCAGATAATAATCTGCCTTCTCGTTTTGCTATCGAAGTGGATAACCTCACATTTATCCACATTATTCTTCATCTGCTATGTGTTTTCCCACTGAGTCAACGTGTCCAAATCAGACTGAATAATCTCTGCATCCTCCTCACAGTTCACCCTTCCACCCAACTTTGTATCAAATTTGGAGATATTACATTTGGTTTCCTCATCTAAATCATTAATATATTTTGTGAACAGCTGGGGTGTAGTAACTGATCCTTGCAGTACCCCACCACTGAGAAAATGATTTGATTATTCTGGTCTTTGTTTCCTGTCTGCCAGCTATCCTCTGTCCATGTCAGTACATTACTCCCAATCCCATGTGCTTTAATTTCATATTCTAATCTCTTATGGAGTCTATGAAAGTCTAAGTAAACCACATCCACTGGTTCCCCCTTATCAACTTAACCAGTCGCATCCTCTAATAATTCCAATTGCCATATCAAGCTTGATTTACCTTTTGTAAATCCATGCTGACTCTGTCCAATCCTATCACTATTTTCCAAGTGCTCTGCTATTATAATGGACTCTAGCATTTTCCCTACTATCGATGTCAGGCTAACCAATCTATCATTCCCAGTTTTCTCTTTACCTCCTTTCCTTACTGGAGATGTCACTCTCCACCTCAATGAAGAGTTATATCATATTGTGGTCGCCCTTCCCCTAGGGGCCTCGCAGAGGTAGATTGCTAATTATTCCTTCCTTATTATTTAACACCCAGTCAGGGATGGCCTGTCCCCTAGTTGGTTCCTCTACATATTGATACAGAAAATGATCTCATTCACCTGCAAGTGCATCATATAAATTGACGTCATATAAATTGTTGTAATTCCTTTGAAAGAATTGTATTATCTATGATTCAGTCACATGTGTAGACTAAACATATGTAACTCAATGGTGTGCAGACAAAAGGCCCAGTCCCCAGGCCATTACACACAGGGGAACGCACAATTGTTTCTCTTTGATTTAATTGAATAGGGAACAACATGCAGCTAGTTCCTTTATCCAATTGCATTATTAACATTCTGCAGCAGGACAGGAAAACACAGCACAATGTTTGGTTCTTTTTTTTTCTATTGGTTGTGTTTTTTGCACCAAAATAGTAGATGGTGCTCTCAATGTCAAACAGTTAACGGCCCTTTTTTACAATAAAGTTAGCAGGAAGCACACACACATTTCTGGCTGGAGTAGAGAAGAAGAGCTCCTCTCAATTCTATTCCCATTCTTGACTGCTGTCAATCCTCACAATCTATTTACAGACTGTTGCCTCACTACCAGCCCCAGACCCTTCAACACGCATTCACAAGATTTATACCATTTCACCTTCCCTTGCACAATATGGCTGAGAGCACGTTTCCACACATTTGGTTTTAGGAGCACGATTAGTTTCTGTGTTCTTTCACCGATTATATGGAAATTGGTTTCTCTTTTCACCTGCCAATTTGTCAGAAGTAGAATACAAGCGATGGCTAAGGATAGCCAAAGGGCAAAGCACTGGGCCATTGAGTCAGGAATAGAACTTGACAAAACTTTGCTCATGGCTAAGCATTGACTGAGTCAGTGATATACTTTTGAGAAATTCAAGAATGAGTTTGATTTCCTCAGGACAAAATACAATTCACTCGTGACAGTTATAACCCATAGTGATAAAAAGCTAGTGCTGCTAATAGGAAAATAAAAAATTGAAGTGCGTAATCCACCTTGTGATGAGAATTTTGAAGAAGAGAAATAAATGTCGATCAAGCTAATTAAACAACCCTCCCACAGACCCATACTTCAAACCACTTGCTTCTTGATAGTGCAACGTAAGATGAAAGCTGTGAAACAGAATCCATAGCGTCACTGGAATTGACAATATGGAAGCTGGATACCCTCCATTTGGAGAAGTGTGAAACCCTTAGTACTGAGAAGGCCAGTCACAACTTCCCAACTAGGCAGGGTTTGATGTCAAACAACTGATTCAACAATACACCAACTTGAACCACGTATGTCCCTTCCACATGTTCACTTGTTGCTCACTAAAGAACAATCTAGCAGCTACAAGAATGGCCCTCCCACAAATTTTATGGTGGCAGTGACTCTGAGTCTGCAGCATGACAGGGTGATGGAGTAGACTTTCCCCAATGCCCAAATCAGCATCTCAGTGCACACCCTCATCAGTATCTCCCTGCCATGCCAGCCTAACAAAATCCACATTTAACTCCCCCTGGAAAAGAACTAATCTGTGCCCTCATCCTCCGGGGCGTTAGTGCACACACTAACATTTCTTTCAACCTCTCATGCCTAATGTCTCACCGTGAGCTGATGGCTTTTCAATAATTGCAGTAACAGTATATGAGATGATGGCTCTGCCTGTCAGATCAAGTCATAGGGCATCTTTATCAGGGCTGTGCTGTTAATCTCCTCTCTCCTTCCAGTGCCGGGGCTGGCAAGATGGTGGTTCTCAGGTATCTGAAAGCAGGAACTCAGAAGGGGAAGGTTACGGTGAGGAATGGGATGTGGGTTGGGAAGCAACAGGACAATGGTGAGACCATCATTACCAGATAGCAGGATGAGAATAAGCTGGTTATTGAGAAGGAACAGGAAGCAGAAACATACCATCACAGAATCATAGAGTTGTACGGCGTGGAAACAGACCTTTCAGTCCAACTCGTCCATGCCCAACCAGACATCGTAAATTAATCTAGTCCCATTTACCAGCATTTGGCCCATATCGCTCTAAACCCTTCCTATTCATATACCCATCCAGATTCCTTTTAAATGTTGGTATTGTACCATCCTCCACCAACCATGCTGTACTTAGGGAGGATATTCCTGGGAATATGTCAAGGGAAGTTATTTAGGTGGAACTGAGAAATAAGAAAAGGATGATCAACTTATTGGGATTGTACTGAGAACACCCCCCATAGTAGGAAATTGAGAAACAAATTTGTAAGATCTCAAATATCTACATGAATAATAGAGTGCTAATGGTCGAGGATTTTGACTTTCCAAACATAGACTGGGATTGCCCTAGTGTTAAGGGCTTGGATGGAGAGAAATCTGTTAAGTATGTACAAGAAAATTTTCTGATTCAGTATGTGGATGTACCTACTGGAGAAGGAGCAAAACTTGACCTACACTTGGGAAATAAGGCAGGGCAGGTAACTGAGGTGTCAGTTGGGGAGCACTTTGGGGCCAACGATCATATTTCTATTAGTTTTAATACAGTGATGGAAAAAGATAGACCGGATCTAAAAGTTAAAGTTCTAAATTGGAGGAAGGTCAACTTTGACAGTATTAGGCAAGAACTTTTAAAAGTTGATTGGGGAAGGATGTTTTCAGGTAAAGGGACAGCTAGAAAATGGAAAGCATTCAAAAATGAGATGACGAGAGTCCAGAGACAGTATGCTCCCATTGGGGTGAAGGCCAAGGTTGGTAGGTGCAGGGAATGCTGGGTGACTACAGAAATTGAGGTTTGGTCAAGGAAAAAAAGGAAGCTTATGTCAGGTGTGGACAGCAGGGATTGACTGAATCCCTGGAAGAGTGTAAAGGCAGTAGGACTGTACTTAAGAGAGAAATCAGGAGGGCAAAAAGGGGACATGAAATATCTTTGGCAAATGGGGTTAAGGAGAATCCAAAAATATTCTGCAAACACATTAAGGACAAACGGGTAACTAGGGAAAGAATAGGCCCCCTTAAAGATCAACAAGGCTGCCTACATGTGGAACCGCAAGAGATGGGAGAGACACTAAACAAGTATTTTGCTTCAATGTTTACTGTGGACAAGGATATGGAAGATAGAGAATATGGGGAAATAAATAGCAACATCTTGAAAAATGTCAACATTACAGAGGACGAGGTACTGGACATCCTAAAATGCATAAAGAAGGATAAATCATTGGGACCTGATCAGGTGTACCCTAGAATTCTATGGGAAGCTAGGGAAGAGATTGCTGAGCCCTATGCTGAGATATTTGTATCATTGATAGCCACAGGTGAGGTACTGGAAGACTGGAGGTTAGCTAACGTTGTGCCACTATTTAAGAAAGGTCGCAAGGAAAAGCCAGGGAACTATAGACTGGTGAGCCTTACATCGGTGGTGGGCAATTTGTTGGAGGGAATCCTGAGGGACAGGGTTTACATATATTTGGAAAGGCAAAGGTTGATTGGGGATAGTCAACATGACTTTGTGCGTGGGAAATCATGTCTCAGTAATTTGATTGAGTTTTTTAAAGAAGCAATGAAGAGGATTGATGAGGGCACAGCGGTAGATGTGATCTATATGGTCTTCAGCCAGGCATTCGACAAGATTCCTCATGGTAGACTAGTCAGCAAGGTTAGATCACATGGAATACAGGGTGAACTAGCCATTTGGATACAGAGCTGGCTCGATGGTAGAAGACAGAGAATGGTGGTGGAGAGTTACTTTCCAGACTGGAGGCCTGTTACCAGTGGTGTGCCACAAGGATCAGTGCTGGGTTCACTGCTTTTCATTATTTATATAAATGATTTGGATGTGAACATAAGAGGTAGGGTTAGCAAGTTTGCAGATCACACTAAAATTGAAGGTGTAGTAGATAGTAAAGAGTGCAATGGGACCTTATCCATGCCCCTCATGATTTTATAAACTTCTATAAGGTCACTTCTCAGCCTCTGATGCTCCAAAGAAAATAGCCCCAACCTACCCATGCTCTCCCTATAGCACAAACACTCCAACCCTAACAACATCTTTGTAAATATTTTCTGAACCCTTTCAAGTTTCACCACATCTTTCCTATAGCAGGGGGACCAGAATTGCATGCAATTCCAAAAATGGCTTGAATCAATGTCCTGTACAGCCACAACATGACTTCCCAACTCCCACAGTCAATGCACTGACCAATAAAGGTAAGTATACCAAACGCCTTCCTCACTATTCTATCTACCTGCAACTCCACTTTCAAGGAACTATGAACTTGCACTCAATAGATCTCAGTGAAGCACAAAATAGTCTCCTTTAAAGGGCTCAGAAGATGCAGGTGCCCTTTTCCACTGTTGCTTCAGCTCTGCACCCAACTACTGTGTGCCATCCTGAGCTGCAAGACAGAGAGAGATGGAAGGCTGTCAGTGATTGTGCAGCACTGTGTTTGGGTGATGTGGTTTCCCAATTTTGAATAGCTGGAGGTATTTTGAGTCAGCAGGACTGGGTTGTGGTTTGCATCATTGCAATGTGCGTTTGTAGATATTTGACATGAGTCCAGAGTGTCAGGGACTTCTGTTAAATGAGTAATGGGAATGGTGCAATGGGCAGTGGGGGAGCTTGTTCAAATGGTGGAACAAGATGTCTTATGAAGATAAATTCACTGACCGTGACCATTAACATTAGGGCATCAAACCGCCTACAGCATTGTTAGCAAATCCTCAGAGCCAGACTCCTTCCAATGACCTCGTTTGCCACCTGTTTCCATTCAGTGGCTGGTCCATGAAGATCTCCTGGCTTTCATGGAAAAAGGACTTCCCTTATCCTTTGCATCTCCATGGCCAGAGTTTTCCAAATGACAGGATTTTGAAGATTCAGTGAAGAACACACCATCACCAAGACTAAGATTGAGGGGCAAAAACAGAAGTTGCTGGAAAAGCTCAGCAGGTCTGGCAGCATCTGTGAAGAAAAATCAGAGTTAACGTTTCAGGTCCGGTGACCCTTTCTCAGAACAGATGCTGCCAGACCTGCTGAGCTTTTCCAGCAACTTTTGTTTTTGTTCCTAATTTACAGCATCCGCAGGTCTTTCGGTTTTTATCTAGGATTGAGGGGAGTGGGAGAGGGGAGGGCAGGCTGGACTGAGTCCACTGATTGGGAGGCAGCGGGGCCTCTTCCAGTGAAATTCCAGAGAGACTGGAGCATGTGGAAAGGCAGTGGGAAAGCTCTGAGGAATTCTATGCCACTACTACCAACTGCCTGCACAATCACCAGCTAGGGAACATGAAGTTCTGCCCCATGGACCTGTTCTTATCTCAATAGTCCATTGAGATTGAGGATGACTTGCTGCTCTCGTTCTTAATGGGCCTGAAATGGCTGATAGAGTTTGGGTGTCTGATCTGCATACTCTGCACTTGATGGGCAGATAGCGCTTGAAGGATCTGATGAGTGAGTTTTGCATTCCCTCTGACACCTTGCCTTCATCCCTGAACGTTCCTGATGAAGCCTCTCAATGTGTTGGTGCCTTGCCAACTGTGCCATCTCCATTTAGGTCAGAGAGAAGCCAGGGTGTCTCATAAATTAGCCAGTAGGTTTGATCTCTTCAGGCATTATCTAAGGACATTCCTCATGCATTCCTGCCGTCCTCCTGTCATTGCAATTTTTTTGGGAGTTTAGTATCTGGGCATATGAATATTTCCCACCCTGTGGAGCTGGTTTGGAAGGTTCAACATCTCAAGGCTGGGCATGTTGGCTTGGGAGAGGAAGCTGTTGTTGAAATCTTTCTTGCCAAGGAGCTTGCAAAGGTACCACTGATGGCACACATCTAGAGCTTTGAGCTTTGCTGTGAGAGCTGGTTGGAAAGGGACCTTCGTTTTCAGGTGTTTCCTGAAAGACTCTTCCCCTCATATTCAATTTCTCACATAATTTGAAGGAGAAGTCAGCAGTGATGTGAGGCTCAGTTCCTGAGTGAGTACACACACATGCCAAATACATACTGCACTATATGGCTGACGCTCCAATGTTTCGAAGTTTGGATTGAAGGCAGCAGAGATTGAACATTTTCCTGACTGTTTACAGATTATCTTAATTTCTGTCAGTAACTTGCTGGAGATGAGGTGCCGTCTTGATGTGAGGGAAATAGAGAAAAGAGTTGCTATGACAATTCAGCATTGGTTGGTCCCAGTGTTCACTAAGCTAGGATCTTATTAAGGATCGTGACTTGCTTGTCATGATGGAGTAGGTGAAGGATGGTTCAAATTTCTGAAAACAGTCAAGTTTGACAAGTTTCTTGACAGCCTTCATGGTTGGTAGAGTTGAATGCTGTTGTGTGGTCGAGAAAGGTCATGTTTAATGGTTGGTTGATCCTTGCAATTTTTTAAATTTATCATGCAGTGGAAATCATGTGGGTATCACAAGCAGACATGTGACCGTTCTTGAATAAAAGCATTGTCCACCTCTCTGACTAAGGCCTCCCATGTAGCATCTGTGAACCTAGGAGCCATCTGTCCTCTCTCATGCCCCAACAATACAGCTCCCACAGGTAGTCAGTGTCAATACAGGCAGCCAGCTGCACTTTCTTCTAACTGTATGCAGCTCCCCTTTAAGAAGGACCAGGCTGCCTTTAACAGGAGCAGACTCGCTGCAGCATTTAGACAGCCAGCAGCATGGGGCTTGCTCAGACCGTTACAATCAGGTAAACTAGGAGACGGTGCTAAGATTGGGTGTTTCCAGCCTCAAAGACCATCAGCACACACAGGTCATGAACCATGAAAGCAAACACCTTAAAAAAAAG